GTCCTGTGTTGCGTTACTACTATGCTACAAACTAGACTACTATACATTACAATATTATACCTTACAATCTAAACTACATTGTATGATATCGTATACACAGCCCAATGTAAGCTCTAACATTATGCATTATATTGATATGTCTCCAACTAAACTTTTTTCAAAATTACACGACTATACACCTTAATATACACTGCCATAGACAAACCCCACCCTTGAATTATACAATGCGTTACTATACACTACCCTATACTTTAGACTATAAAATATTAGACTTGTAATATTACACTATGCATTATTCTACCAACCTTACTGTGTACCACACTGCTGTATATTCATTATACAATTACGATACTATATATTGCCTTATGAATTATGTTAAATATTACACTGTTATACTATTTATTATTATACAACATTCTATAAACCATACCATTGACCGTCGTGTGAAAGGTATTAAGATGCAGTGCCAGCGAATGAACTGCGGTATGAAAGTCACCGTAAAATAACAATCAATCAAGAACCGAAATGGTTTATAACATCTTTCCAATGGTTACTAAGCCAGAATCTATCTTCTCGGTTGAAATTGTCTCTGTGTTTGTATATGTGGATGGCCTCATGAACGAATCTCTCATGGTAGCCGGATGGCTTGCAGAGGACCTCCGTCTTGGAGAAGTCAATGTCATGTGAGCCTACTGAATTATAACAGTGATCTGCCACGGCTGAGGTGTTCGTCCTACCGTGTTTCAAGTCTGCTTTATGTTCACGGATGCGGTCCGAGATATGTCGTTTGGTTTATCCAATATAGCTGCTACCACAGAGGCAACTTAGTTTGTAGACGCCCAGGTACTGTATGTCTGGAACCACATCTTTTACCGACAGAACCAGATCACAGATTTTATGTACTGTGTTGAATCGGACATGGATCTTGTGTTTATTCAGGATTTTGGAGATATTTTTGTGACCCCCGCAATGTAGGGTAAGGTGATGGTTTAGAATGGCTCCTCAAGAGGATCCGTCTTCATGGTTGGAGAAGGATCCCCTGGTGAGACACTGCTTAACCAACACATACTTCACCTGGAATGGGACTTTCTACAAACAAACTGAGGGCACCCCAATGGGCTCCCCCCTTTCTCCAGTTGTAGCCAACATTTTCATGGAAAAATTTGAGACTGACGCCATCCAGACTGCCACTCTACGCCCGACCTTATGGAAGAGGTACGTGGATGAAACTTTTGTCATCTGACCACATGGCCGGCCTGCTCTAGACCAATTCCTCGACCACATCAATTCCATACACCCAGCCATCAGATTTACCATGGAAGTCGAAAAAGATGGCAAGCTACCCGTTTGGATGTCCTAATTAAAAGGAGACCTGATGGTTCAATGAGCCACTCTGTCTACAGGAAAGCTACCCATACGGATGCTTACTTAAAACTGGATTCCCACCACCATCCATCCCAGAAGAATTCCCTCATCAAGACTCTATACCAAAGAGCCCAATGCATCTCTGACCAGGAACACATTACCAGTGAACTCAAGCACGTACACCAAGCTCTCAAGGCTAATGCTTACTCCGACTACACAATCCGCAAAGCCATCACTCCAACCATGAAGAAGGATCCTCTTGAGGAGCCAGTCAAAACCATCACGTTACCCTACATTGCGGGGGTCACAAAAAAGATCTCCAAAATCCTGAATAAACACAAGATCCAGGTCCGATTCAACACAGTGCATAAAGTTTAACACGTAGGCTTTCGCGACCAATATTATTCATAATAAAGGTTTTTGGGTTAGATCGCGTTTATTTATAAATGTGTCGTAACCCTCCACCACCCGACACGGCCAATCAGCAAAAAAAAGTGTCACGTTGACAAAAGACAAATAATTCACTACTTCAGCCCACCGGTGTGTTGATGATGCTGGAAGTATTTACCAGCAAAACGTCGTACTCAAACTGTAAATGTGGATTAACTCTTCAACACACCGGTGGGCTGAAGTAGTGAATTATTTGTCTTTTGTCAACGTGACACTTTTTTTGCTGATTGGCCGTGTCGGGTGGTGGAGGGTTACGACACATTTATAAATAAACGCGATCTAACCCAAAAACCTTTATTATGAACAGTGCATAAAATCTGTTATCTGGTTCCGTCGGTAAAAGATGTGGTTCCAGACATACAGTACCCGGGCGTCTATAAACTAAGTTGCCTCTGTGGTAGCAGCTATATTGGAGAAACCAAACGACATATCTCGGACCGCATCTGTGAACATAAAGCAGACTTGAAACACGGTAGGACGAACACCTCAACGGTGGCAGATCACTGTTTTAATTCAGTAGGCTCACATGACATTGACTGCTCCAAGACGGAGGTTCTCTGCAAGGCATCTGGCTACCATGAGAGATTCGTTCATGAGGCCATCCACATATATAATCACAGAGATAATTTCAACCGAGAAGATGCATTCTGGCTAGTAACCATTGGAAAGACGTTATAAACCATTTCGGTTCTTGATTGATTGTTATTTTACTGTGACTTTCAGACCGCAGTTCATTCACTGGCACTGCCTCTTAGTACCTTTCACACGACGGTCAATGGTATGGTTTATAGCATGTTGTATAATAATAAAATAGTATAACAGTGTAATGTTTAACATAATTCATAAGGCAATATATAGTATCGTAATTGTATAGTGAATATACAGCAGTGTGGTACACAGTAGGGTTGGTAGAATAATACATACAGTGAGGGAAAAAAGTATTTGATCCCCTGCTGATTTTGTACGTTTGCTCACTGACAAAGAAATGATCAGTCTATAATTTTAATGGTAGGTTTATTTGAAGAGTGAGAGACAGAATAACAACAACAAAATCCAGAAAAACGCATGTCAAAAATGTTATGAATTGATTTGCATTTTAATGAGGGAAATAAGTATTTGACCCCCTCTCAATCAGAAAGATTTCTGGCTCCCAGGTGTCTTTTATACAGGTAACGAGCTGAGATTAGGAGCACACTCTTAAAGGGAGTGCTCCTAATCCACTATGTAGAATAATACATAGTGTAATATTACAAGTCTAATATTTTATAGTCTAAAGTATAGGGTAGTGTATAGTAACGCATTGTATAATTCAAGGGTGGGTTTTGTCTATGGCAGTGTATATTAAGGTGTATAGTCGTGTAATTTTGAAAAAAGTTTAGTTGTAGGAATATCAATATAATGCAAATTGTTAGAGCTTACATTGGGCTGTGTATACGATATCATACAATGTAGTTTAGATTGGAAGGTATAATATTGTAATGTATAGTTGTCTAGTTTGTAGCATAGTAGTAACGCAACACAGGACAGAGCAGCGCATCGTTGCTGTTTCTTCTCTCCCCCCTCCTCCGTTCCGAACATAGATTGACTCGTCCGTCTGAACAAAGCTCGTCGTTTCCCGTGGTGCTCACCACAGTGGTGCTAACGTTGAAAAGAAAAAAGAAACCGCCACTTTTTCCGACATAGTTCCGACATAGTTACATGCTAATCCCTCACACTAACATCATGCTAATCCCCCAGTTACATGAGAATTTCTGACTTTAACATCATGCTAATCGAACACATTAACATAGCTACTTGAATGCAAAATTATTCTATTGATATGTAAACTCCTTGGTCAAGGCACTCTGCTCCTCCCACCCAGCTGAAAACACGTGGCCAAAGCTTGGCTGTGTTCACGGAAGCGCTGTCTTACCGACAGTTCTGTCTCTTCACCTGAGGAAGGCTACTTGTGTTGTGGCCGAAACGTCATGAGAATTTTTATTGTTTTATTTTTATTAATTTATTTCAATTCTACGTGACTTTACCGAAAGAACCAAGAAGATGAATCTCTGCAGTCACGAAAGCTTTAAATCAAAATATTACGTCTTATTATTTATGCATTATTAAACATGGGTGTATGCGTTCATTCATGAAAAAAATTAGCTGTCAACTATTTTGTGTTTATTATTCGTCCGTGTGTTTTTTCAATTCACGTATTGCCATGTGAGCTGAACAGTCGGGGTCTAACAATACATACATTCATCAATTGCTATCTATTCATGACGAACGCATTGTATATAAGTCAAAATGCATTGAAGTGTGTGCAGGAATCGATTCGTTTCTACTTGTATATGTTGTATGTCATGAATCCACATGACCCCTTCAGCAAATAACGGTCAGCAACTTTCACCACAAATGTAAAAAAAACATATCCTCGAATTGAATTTTTACCCTGATTAACATGCAGCCCTACAGCGTATGGGGAAAGGGGGGAGGGGCGCTGGAGGAGTCATATTGAAGGTTCAGCACCTCTTCTAAATTTTTATAGTTTAAAGTTTGTTTGATTGAGACGTTGATTGAGACGTGCACCCCTGAGGTTGCATATGCTCCTGCCTTAATCAAGGTCGCACATTTCAGGGTTGTTAGCGTTGAATCATTGTTCTAGGAAGCTTCGGGGCAGTGACGTGGCCTCGCAGTAGCCCGTTCAATGCTTGTTGCAGAGGTAGCGGTTCGTATACCGGTGGCCACCCTGATTAATACTTCTGGTGTAATAACCGATATAATACGTTTAACATGTAGGCTTTCGGGGTAAATATCATCCAGATCGCGTAAATACGCGATCGCGTAAATACGCTATCGTACCCAAAAAAAAAATCTGTATTATGGACGATATAATATGCTCTGTCTGCTTCGCAGTGGATGGCAAAGATCCAATGATGTCATTCACAAGAATAGGCCATGGTGTGCCAGTATCAGGGTCCAAATTGGCAATTACAATATTGAGTTTGGGATTATGCATAGCAATCGTCGCCTGTTATGCGCAGAATAATACCCCAGATCATTCTTTCAAGTGAAACTCCTGGTCTCCTGAGTTCTCACCTGGTTAAACTAAATACACTGGAAACTCACACTTGAAGCTGAGTGGTTATGGCTGTACAAATGTGTGGTTTGCTGGTCTCGGATTGACTCTGTGCCAATCTCTGCAGGTCGACGAACTATGGAGCATCTTACACGAAGCTCACAGACAAACTCGACCCCAAGGCCATCCTGGTGGCCCTCTACGTCTGCCCCAGCAATAAAAAGAAGGTTGGTCGATGCCATCAGTTAATAGTATACAACCCTTTGTCTGTTCACTGCTGGTTGAATGCCTCCTCATCCCCATGTGGGTCATCGGGGTGTTTGTTGGACCATACATCACCATGTCGGGCAGTGCATGTTGGTGAAGGGAACTCCCAGGACTGGTTAGGGAATCGCTCGCCGCTAAGGTTAGCTGTGGCTGGGAGTTGAACTCGGGCTGATGGGTTCATAGCGCAGCGCGCTAGGCACTGCGTCACTGCTCCCCATTGTTGTGATTAATAACGGAAGTTATTGCTCACGTCTTGAAGAGGAACGTGTGTACTGCATATAGAGAGAGATATCCCATGCTTCATCGCAATGTGAGATAGAGCTTCACTTATGTGCCTGTTCATTTTGTATTCTATATGAAACATATGGCTCCAGGTTCATAGCACAGTGCACCACCCACTCCATCACTGCTCCACCCTACCTTCAATTAGACCGTTCTTATTTAAAGAACAGAGTTGTTTTGCTTATGAATTGCAGCCTAAATGACAATGTGTTAGTTTTGGGGTGCACAGCTCATTGTGTTTCGAGACTGCAGCTGTGCACATCTCAATGTGTCATTACCACGAGTCAGTTGGTAATTATGTTATTAGTAGGTAGATTTTGTACATTTGATGTTTTTTGAATAATGTAAAGGGGAAAAAACGTTATTTTTGGGAGTAGTTAATAATCCCCTTTCTGCGATATGTCTGACACATATTGTTTACCGAAATGTGTTTGCCCTCTGAGTGTCGGGCTGTGTTGAGGCAAGCAGTAATCTTTTTTTACTGCACAGTGCTGCTTATACTTCACGTTTTTTTTAGAATATGGGAGCTAAACGGGATTGTAAAGATACACTAAGATAATACTAAATAATTTTAAGAAATGTGTAATGATGCAATTTCCCTGTTTACAATGTGTGTTTTGGAAAAAAAAATACGATTTTCTGACAGCAAAGCACTGAGTCCTCATTTAGTAACCCTATTGGGCATATTTGACCAATTTCTGACAAACAGGCTCATATATGTTCCTGAATTGCATCGTAAATTGTTGTAATGTGAAGGGTATCTGACCTGCTTCTCCAAACAACCTGGTTTCATGATTCCAAGTCAATACTTAAAACAAAGCATCAGTCTTTTCTGTGAAAAAAAAAATATGGATTTCTACAGTGTAGCTCTTATTGAGGTAGGTTTTATTTTTGTTACCAATTTTGTCTTGTTAAGGTCTTTACTCGGACTGTGCGCAGTAGGCATTTGTGTTGAATTACAGCAATTCCGGCGTTTGCTGTCTGCTGCCCTGAGAGAGATGCAACGCAGCCTTGAGAGAGGTAGTAGAGGTTGATGGAGTGCAATGACGATGATGAATGCAATGCAACGGGTCAGCTCTCCATTTCAAAGATAAATAACCAAGTCGATTGTTACCTGGTGGATTTAAATGATCAACATCATCTACTGTAAATATATGCTCACATTGGCGAAATAAAACAATAAAATACCAATGCAATGATATCATCAAATTGGTTTTATTAATCAGAAAGTGTATTCTTTACTGCAATTCATTTTCAAACCCTCCCCCCCCCCCCATTAACTCGTGACATATCTGGGATGGAGTGGTGGCGTGGTGGTTAGTGTACTGCACTGTGAACCCAGTGACCTCATTTCGATTCCTGGCCATGGCTAACGTCAGTGGTATGTGATATCTGAACTGGTACTGCTTTCAAACTTCACAAAAGCACCTCCGATTAGCACGGTTGGCTTAGTACAGTGCGAAACAAACATGGAAAAACAACCACCACGACTGACACGGGTAATCTTCATTCAGAAGTGTATTGGCAAATAATTGTAAATTATAACTATTATCCCATATGTGTTGTACACGTCCTGATTTGCATCGCTTCAGTTTGTATATACACACATAAAAATATGTTAGCCATGTTCCTCGGATTGTCTCAAGAATAACTACAGCCACGCTTTGACAGCAGTGATGTCAAAATTATAAGGAAGGTGGCTTATTCATTCTTCATAAATATATTACAGATCTATTTTAACTTTTCTTCCAACACATTCACAGTAAAACTTTCCCGTTTCAATCATGCGTTTGATGTTGTGCAATAAGTAATGCTCAAAAATTCACTTTTGTATGAGCGCTTCTTAGACTACATGGTGTGTCATTAATGGTGTAGGTATATAAACTGCACTTTCGAATCACATTATATAATTACATATCTAGGTTCTTGTATATAAATTGACATTATCTAAGAATGAAAATTACTAATAAGAGCTTAGAGACTATTTAACATTAAAAGTGCGACTCCACTAAAATTTGAATGGCTCATATTGATTAATGCAATGGAAACTCACAGCACAGATGGTTCAGTGGGTATTGCTCTTAAGGGACTTACAACAGATAGTTTACAATAGCATTATATTATTCTATAATGCATTATACATGGATAAGAATCACTTTTGAAACCAAGAAATACTTATACCTACCCTATAGAGTATTCTACAATTACGTATTCATGAAACGGGACTGTGTTTCTTTATATTCAAAATCTTCCGATGTTATCTGTGCAATACTTTACCTGTTTGCTCGATCCTCAAACATGTTTTTGCTTCTTGCCATGTATAAGGGCGCAATGATGCGTAGGATATTTGAAATGAGAGTGAAGACACTGGAGCATCCCCATTGGTCTTGACGGACTGCTTTTCTGATCCCAGAAATAAGCTGCGAGAAATAAAAATACCCAGGACATGACCCCGTGTCACCATCGCTAGCCGTCTGCTGCACCCTCTGCATTCCATTTGAGAAGCAGTATCTTCTTTGTGATGCGCATGCTTGGGTCTCTCACGTGCTGCTTACGTGTTATGGTTCTGAATGATGGGAAGTAAAAAAAAAATGAAATACCAACGCGAGTCGATATTGCGTCCAACTAAATATACTGTTTTCATTTCTTTTTGCTGTTGATATTGAATAAATAATATATTGAGTTTTTTTTTATATCACAATAAAACGCCAAGATATATCATGGAATTTGTTTAAGGTTATTGATTGAAAATTACATACAAAACTAATTGCATACAGTGAGGGAAAAAAGTATTTGATCCCCTGCTGATTTTGTACGTTTGCCCACTGACAAAGAAATTATCAGTCTATAATTTTAATGTTAGGTTTATTTGAATAGTGAGAGACAGAATAACAACAACAAAAATCCAGAAAAACGCATGTCAAAAATGTTATGAATTTATTTGCATTTTAATGAGGGAAATAAGTATTTGACCCCTCTGCAAAACATGACTTAGTACTTGGTGGCAAAACCCTTGTTGGCAATCACAGAGGTCAGACGTTTCTTGTAGTTGGCCACCAGGTTTGCACACATCTCAGGAGGGATTTTGTTCCACTCCTCTTTGCAGATCTTCTCCAAGTCATTAAGGTTTCGAGGCTGACGTTTGGCAACTCGAACCTTCAGCTCCCTCCACAGATTTTCTATGGAATTAAGGTCTGGAGACTGGCTAGGCCACTCCAGGACCTTAATGTGCTTCTTGAGCCACTCCTTTGTTGCCTTGGCCGTGTTTTTTTGGATCATTGTCATGTTGGAATACCCATCCACGACCCATTTTCAATGCCCTGGCTGAGGGAAGGAGGTTCTCACCCAAGATTTGACGGTACATGGCCCCGTCTATCGTCCCTTTGATGCGGTGAAGTTGTCCTGTCCCCTTAGCAGAAAAACACCCCCAAAGCATAATGTTTCCACCTCCATGTTTGACGGTGGGGATGGTGTTCTTGGGGTCATAGGCAGCATTCCTCCTCCTCCAAACACGGCGAGTTGAGTTGATGCCAAAGAGCTCCATTTTGGTCTCATCTGACCACAACACTTTCACCTAGTTGTCCTCTGAATCATTCAGATGTTCATTGGCAAACTTCAGACGGGCATGTATATGTGCTTTCTTGAGCAGGGGGACCTTGCGGGCGCTGCAGGATTTCAGTCCTTCATGGCATAGTGTGTTACCAATTGTTTTCTTGGTGACTATGGTCCCAGCTGCCTTGAGATAATTGACACAATCCTCCCGTGTAGTTCTGGGCTGATTCCTCACCGTTATCATGATCATTGCAACTCCACGAGGTGAGATCTTGCATGGAGCCCCAGGCCGAGGGAGATTGAGAGTTCTTTTGTGTTTCTTCAATTTGCGAATAATCGCACCAACTGTTGTCACCTTCTCATCAAGCTGCTTGGCAATGTAGCCCATTCCAGCCTTGTGTAGGTCTACAATCTTGTCCCTGACATCCTTGGAGAGCTCTTTGGTCTTGACCATGGTGGAGAGTTTGGAATCTGATTGATTGCTTCTGTAGACAGGTGTCTTTTATACAGGTAACAAGCTGAGATTAGGAGCACTCCCTTTAAGAGTGTGCTCCTAATCTCAGCTTGTTACCTGTATAAAGACACCTGGGAGCCAGAAATATTTCTGATTGAGAGGGGGTCAAATACTTATTTCCCTCATTAAAATGCAAATCAATTCATAACATTTTTGACATGCGTTTTTCTGGATTTTCTTGTTGTTATTCTGTCTCTCACTGTTCAAATAAACCTACCATTAAAATTATAGACTGATGATTTCTTTGTCAGTGGACAAACGTACAAAATCAGCAGGGGATCAAATACTTTTTCCCTCACTGTAATACTTTAGACACGCATGAGAGATGCAGTCTGTTTTGTCAATCCACTGCTGGATAAGGGCCTCCCCATAGTGTACAGATCATGGGGATTATATGACTATACTTCACCATGCTGGTCAGTGTGGGTTGGTGAAAGTGTTCTGAGAGATAATAAAATAATATTTACAATGCGATAAATAATAATGTACTTCTCATCGTAAACAGTCGACTATTTTTTTCATCTATTTATAAAGTCATGGTGTAATAATACAGCTCTTGTTTAAGTGTGACATTTTAAATTACAGCATCATTTGGATCTGCATTTAACAAAT